CACAAAATGAAATAAATTATCAATAGAACCTTGTATAAGATACTTTATTCAACTTCGTAATGTATTGATTTCGATAACGTTCATATAGACTGCTATTGAAAATGTCCGACCCGCATACTGAGAATTTACCCACCTTTTAGCTACAACTCTTTGGACAATAGAACCGGCAGACAACCTAATAACGCACCAGTGTATCGCGTTATCAGCTCATTAGAGCAGTGGTATTCAACCTGGGGTACGCGTACCCCCGGGGGGATACGCAAAGACATCTTAGGGGGTACGTGAAATTTAAAAAATATATATATTATTTTATGATAAACACTGAATAATCAGTAATGTAATTTATTTAATTTATTTTAAATGTAGATTATATACTATATATAACTTGAATTATACATCAACAACTTTGGGGGTACAAAGTTGAAGAGAAGTTATATCTGGGGGTACGCAAACAAAAAAGGCTGAATACCACTGCTTTAGAGTGTCTGAACAAACAGCACTGTTTCCACTACCTGGATATTATGACTCTCCTCAAGGATACTGATGCCAGTATAGTCTCTATAGAAGGAAGGTGGTAAAACCGATCGAAACAGAGACCCGTGACGGAATTCTGTAAACATGGTAACAGTGACCTGCGAGATCTCGTATTCAAATATCGGACTGGAGACAGGCTATCCTTACTGATGTTTTTCATGGTTTTACTTAGTCCACTCATGCAAGTGCCGGGAAATTAGTAGCCTACCTAAAACCAGGCCACTGTCTATTCTGTATTATCTCCAGTCCATTAATCTTATCATTCGACGCCACGTGGGCTGAGCTACTGACTTTATCATTAAGTAAACTACAAATAATGATATAGATTTGCTTTTTCTGTACGTTACAGTTTCTACCATAAACCTACCTGACTGTGGCCATTAATTTCGAAATCGTCTTTTATACGTCGAGTCGACGTCGTGATTTGAATCTATTGTTTTAGTATGTACTTACGAATGCTCTAGTATTTTACTACGTGTGTAAACAAACGTGCAAACTTTTCTTGTAATTACAGATTTTTCCTTCAGATGAATGACATTAATTTCAGGAGTTGTGTAATTAATATTACAGCTACAATAAACATCAACTCACCGCTTCTAGAGACATTATTGAATTATGGAGACTTGCGATCTGAAACAAAGAACATAGTTATATATATTTCCGTTATTCGCTATATAACTTTACATGGAGTCATAACAGTTTGACACTGAGCGGAAATTATGAGAAGGCATATGAATGTAAAGACTAAACAATCCTGACATTCATTTGCCTTGTAATAATTTTTATTCTTAATCTTATTATAATCATCCGTTGACATAACCTGATCTCAGGTGCTTAGACGCAGGTTGTCCAGTGATTGAAATTAGCTCATTCTAACGGACCCCACACAGTAGAAGTCTCTTCACTGCTCCTGAAGACGAGGACAGATCCAGTCCTTCAAACGTTGTGTAATTTTACAAGATCAGACGATGGACAAGGTCCAAAAACCCAATAATCCGGAAAGTATTTTCGTGTTCATTAATAATAACCCAATTACTATCAGTTTACACAACTGTTCTAACACGGACGAATATCTCACATTGACATTGATACTCACAAGATATTCGAAGGCAGGACTGACGTAACAAGGTACTGGCTTGCCTATTGTTTAAGGGATCTACCTCGGAGAACTGCTGCTTACGAGGTGCGCTCCAGAACATTCGCGTTGCTAATGACTGCCGCCGGTCTTTTGCCTCAGACCACACTTTCCTCAGACCACTTCAATAGACCTTGAATGCATGCACTCTGCCCTATACGTAAAAACGACATATAGTAATTGAACAAAACGAAAATTGTCACCAAAGCATTTCTACTTAACTCCTGGGGTTATCTTCTTAAACAGCATTGACCAGCTGGTCTTAGTAATGAATGTAGAGCTGTCTAAATGCTATTTAAATGATCTAACTTTAAATTTAAATTAAATTCTTTGAATCAGGTATGGGTGAATGGATTTTGTTGAGAGGTTAATACAGAATTATAGTTACATTTCTTGAATTGTGAAATATTTTATTATCGCTTCGTATGCAATAAGTTAATAAATATTTATGAATTTTGCAAAGTGCCTGAATGTTTAATGCCTTGATTTAATAACCTGAATAAGAATGCTGGATAGTACCATAAATCTTCCCACTACTGGTTCTACCACTAGGCACACAAAGTGGTCACTTGGTCGGCAAAACTGGGGGCAACCATTAATCAATAGTAAAAGAAATAGGAGTAGCTTGAAATGCAGTAAGATGGGTGCCTAAAAATGGAAATAAAAATCACAGTTAAATAATAAATAAATGTGTTTTTGCGTGTTTGTAATATGCCAGCTACAATGGTATCGTACACAAATGGTTGATGTATGTTCAGTGAAGTCGACAGTGTGACCAGTGACACATTTCCTGACAAACAGAGTGCCCCTTATATGGATGCATTTAGTTATCGTCGCCATTTGCCTGACAGGTCTTGTTCTGATAGGTTCTGTTCTGCTTTTGTTCAGTTTTTTCACGTGGCTGCTTTAGAAGGTTGCATCTGCAGAAATCAACTGTATTGTTAAAAGGGAAGTTTTCTTTTACAAATAATTCGACGCGCGTGCGTTATTTTATACATTCACGCGATCTGTAGCCACATTATGTTTACATTTTAAGATAAAACATCGTAGTATTGTGCATATTAATGTGCAATATTAATTTTCGGATGTTAATTTTTTTTGGGGGGGGGAGGCGCAAAGCTGAAGATTAACCAAGGGCACCAAATACCCCTACCCCGGCCATCAGTTCAGGTGCAATTAGAATAGTGACTGCTACTTATTTATGGTGCTTTGCTACATCTGTGATTGAAATCAGGTTTTCCACTTGTTTCATCCGATGTCTTGCCCGTGTCCATTACATAGGCAGTCAACAAGGCGTTGATTTACATATAGTATTTGTCTACATGTCAGCAGTTGTTAACACTATTTTCTGTGTCCTTTAGAAACGATTAAGATTCAAACATTTATGTTGGCTAACGTAACAGCTCAGGAACAGGTCTTTCGTGTATTTTAGATTTTTAATTATTCACTGCGTGTCCCACTGCCTTGACCTCGTTAATTCCGACCTTGAGTTATGGAAAAGTCACTTTATGTAATGAATGTTCACTGAATATATTTATCAAAACAGGAAATTCTCATTGTAACTTGTTTTTAAATGCGTTTGCAACTAAAGGTGCAAAATTCACGTGTGGCTTCGCCCTGTCTGTCTTTTCGTAGCCCGGACTTTCACGAGATTTTATATCGTGAATTTTTCTAACGTTTGTCAGACAACAACAATGGACACTTTATATGAAGGCCTACATGCGTTTTTGCGCGTAAGTGAAAAATTAAATTCTAGCGAAATTGGCAGAATTATGCCATTATATATTTCGTAGCTTCTTTATACCGTTTAAATACGCACACTGTTTGAAAAACATTCATGAAGTAAGTGGTATTTTTAAATATTTAACTGATAGGCATTGTAAGATACTTGTTTCAAAAGGCTTTTTTGACTACCTGAGCTTCTGTCAGATCACTTAATATTTTGCATTTCTTAATTCCTTTTAGCATGAACGTATTGACGTGACCATCTGTTTCAGTTCAGTAGGTCAGTATTTTACCTATAGAGTGTACATATGGGTTTTGTTTTCTATGAGAAAAAACACTGGTCAATTTTAAAACCCCATTTTTCCTTGATCTCAGTCAAACGTTATGGAGTATTTTCTTCATGGTATTGGTCACATTTTTAAACACTGCACACATGACCACCGCTCTTAATTATTTCATATTCAGAGACTCTCAGTATATGAATCACGTAATAAATCTGGGGACAAACAGAAACCAGATTTTATAATAAAAAAGTGCCTGATTTGCATTTGCGTGTTTAAGTATAAATTATTATGACCACTTTCCAGTGTCTAATATTCAGTTGTAAACTACGGTTTGTGCACAGCTTGTGTTATGTGCGTACACAAATGCAATGACCACTTTCCCTTCCCACAATCTAATATGTGATAGGCCCTAGCTTGTACTTTGTTTATCACATAGCAAACGATTTTACTTTATAGATGCTATCACATAAACCATGCTCTGCAGTTATTTCAGTTAAACTAATGGATCAGTTATTTATCTAAATGTGATAGCGGTATCTGATCACAGCCCAGTAACATATTCTAAAATCTTTTAATGAACTGCAATGCAAGTGATTTTTACTTAGCTCTTGTGAACTTGGTAAATGTGTTCAAGTTTCTAAACTGTGGAGAATTTTTTGACTAGCTGAGTGACTGTTAAGTTCTCAAGGACACTGTTCCATGGTTTTCGTTAGTTATTCTTCTGTTCACTCTGACCTTGGCAACATGTATATTGTGAGTCATTTGTCATAGAGATGTCCATAACCTTACCTGGAAGTCACTCTGAAGATCTGCTGCAAATTTCCTGAAATACTAGTACTATATTGTATTTAGGCTTAGAAGAGGCGAGATTATGTATGTACAGGGTTTAAATTCCATTAGAAGAAGAAAGCCCACTGCTCTGAATAGGATGAGTGGCAATATAAAATTCGAGATAAACACTGTTATCTCTGATTACTCATTTAAACTTGGTAAATATTTTTATGGCTCCAACTAATTTGATGTAAGAGTGTAATAACTACTGAAACAACTTAAACTTGGCTACAGAGAGGAGTTATACATGAACATTATTTTTGCTTTGATTGAAACAGTGAATATGAATTTTAAAAATTGGAAAAAGAAAATGGCATCAAATCTTTTCACAGTAATTTTATTCCTTCTAATACTACAGCGTAACTTTCTGACATATTCATAGAGTGGTCAGTGTCACATTTCATACTTATGTTGTCATTTTCTTTACATTAGCACTTAAAGATAATAATCTGAAATATATTTTATACCAGCGCCAACACATCGCTGATGGGCATGTTTATAACTGCAGCCATCACTGGCTGTGTGTAGTTCAGTTTCACAATGAATATCTGAACTTGATCAGATATACCAACCTCTGCGATGCATTCTGCTAGAGATTCAAATTTGTATGTCAAACCGGGAACTAGCAATGGAACCTGGAAACAGACACAGAGAACATTACAACATGAACAACTGATAACCTCAGAGATATGGAGTTGCAGTTTCTAATTTATATTATTATTAAATTAAAATTACCCTTTCTTAGTTGTCTTTACACAGCAAACTGAATACTGGTAGTTCTGAAGCAGACTGGTGAAAAATACTTCTGTATGTATCTTTATAACCAAATACCCATCTTTCACTGAGAATGTGTTTAGATAGTCAGGATATACCCATTTAGAAAATCACAGAACAGTTAAGTGTTTTTCCTTTTTTACTTACTATTTAGTAAATTTATAGTTTTTGTTACAATTTATACTGACAAGAAACTTGTTGTACTTACTTGAATAAAAGGTTTCTCAATTATATACAATTTATCATCACAATGAAAGGTAATTGCAAGATCTTTTACTGGATTTGAGGCGGACATGTTCTCTAATGTAATATGAATTTTGAATGTTGGGCCCAATCCCAAAACCTGAAACAAAAGTTGCATTAATATAACATGACAGTAAAAAGAATGCATATACAAGTAATGATACAATATATTTTTTAGGTAAGTGATAAATACCTTCTCCAGGAGGACTCTGCTAAATGGAGTTAATTATATGTATAATTTTTTTCTTGAATACATGTCATACTTGAACGGAACAAGAATGTAGTGCTAAATACCTGTGCTGACATTTTTATTGGCTCATGAGTGTCCATAGAGAAGGGGTTCTTGCAACTCTGGAGAGCATTTACACATGCACGGGCTGTGTTCAGTCTCAGCCGAAACAAATCATGTTGAAATGTTTGATGCATTGCTGTAAATGCCCATAAAATAAACACAAATATATATTAGTATTCCTTCTACAGAGAAAAAAACATATATTTGGACATAAACACTGTATTGAACTACCCATAGAAACAACATAATTTATTTTAAGTGAGATATCTTCTTCTTCTGTGGCGGAAAAGCCCAAATCGAGCCTTGGTCTCCTCCCATGTGGGAGGTTTCTTTGTCTTTGAAGTGTGCATTTATGAGTAGTGAGTGACCCTCTCACCTTGTTTCCCCAAGATCAAATTTGATAGAATTTTGGATACAAAAATGAGGCCACTTGATTGATATAAGACAGCGTTGTTTCTATCTCAGGTGATAATAAGGCTTTGTCTAGAAACTCTATGCTAACAAATTTATACCAGATCCTACACTCCCCTACAACTGACAGGACAAGACTAGTTGCTTTATGATACTGATTTAGACGAAATATCTAGATTACAAATACATGTCGTACCAACTGCATTCTCTCTTTCTCTAAGAGTTTGTTCCATAAAAACTTTTGTTTTCTTTGGCACAAGCATTTTTATTTGTTGAGGAGGTACCATTCCTGTTCCACTTGATTGAGCAGTAAATTGAGCTGTTCGCTTCAAAATCTTCACCAACAGATGACCACCTGTAATAAAAATAATTACAATTGAATGTCAGAAATAAATAGTGTAAAAACTTTAAGAACAAGTGAAAGGTCACAACTGTCAAGTTAAAATAAAACTTGAAGGTTCATTACTGTGTTCACAAGAGCGCTCCATGAGTGGGAGATTAAAAATATTACAAATTGACTGGAATAAAAAATTTCCAGTGATGTCCTTTCTGTACAAACAAAATTTAAGTTCTTACTGATTGTAACAAGAATGAGGCTGTGGTCCTCTTGGCCAAATCTTCCAAACAGAAGTGCTGACACTGTGTCAGATGCTGTAATGGTATCCATGATCTGACAGCCTGAGTAGAAGTTTACAGTACCACCAGTAAGTGCCACAGCCACGAGAGTGAGACCTAGATGATGCAGTGGTACTGGAGCCATTGCTGTTGCAGCACTTGGCAATTTAAGTTCCCACTGCTTCTTACCCTGGGGAGATTCATCATGCCATTATACAAATCAACATACAGTGAGAATATATGGGGGCTGTGCTATTAGTACTAGAAAATATGGGAACCAACACAGTGATCATGCGTAGCTTGGGATTTAATTGTTAGAAGTTGTCTGGAATTATACATTAATAATTATGCAGGTTAATGATTTCTTTGTATACATCATTATTGTAGGTATGTTATTAATATTTTCATTTCATTATTTGTACTAATTCCTTTGTTGATATTCAGCCTAAATTTCATTTTATGTTAATTCATTATGCATATGTGCACATACATAAAAGATCAATTCACAAAGAAAATTAATATGTTTTGTACTTTCTGTTCTATTATAGGTTTATTTCTATGAAAAGATACAAGCGTGGAATCCTTGAAGGGAAGATGACATACACACCATATGTTGGCATTAAAAGTGCTAGCTTAAAAAATATACTGGAAAAAAACTGAACTACCAGTTCAGCAAGTTGGTAAGTAAATGAATGAATCTGTAAATTGCATTTGACAAAACATTGTTATCATTGTCATTTAACATTCAGTAATAACTGTAATAATATATTCTGTCATATATTTATGCAGTGGGTGAGATGAGATTCATTACATATTCTGCATTCAAAGTACTTTATCTCTTTAGTGAACAATGTCACTGAATGAAGAAAAACAAGACAGAAACTAATTAAATATCTAATCTGTTTTGAGTAATTATTAATTTCAAAATATCAAATTATTATATCTAATTTTTAACAGTTATACAGTAACATAACTTTCTTAACCTTTTTAGTATAACCAATGAGGAACTCATTCATGAGTGCAAGAACAATGCTGCTGTTCCCTGGCAGTACAACCATGGCAACTGCTTGAGCAGGAAGCTGCATCAGAGGGCGAGCCTGGGTCCAGGCCCTACGCACCAAGTATACGCAGCCATCACGACATACCACCACAATTCGGAATTCAACATCATGAAGGCCTGTTGCAGCCATGTGGGCTGGAACTCCAACAAAGGTAGGATTTCCTTCTCCTCCAAGGTTCATCTTAAATAGCAAAACTATGAATAAATTCACATAAAATTTACAGTGTAATGTCAATAGACATCACTGTGAAGTTGTATTACATGTTGAGTGTTGCTACTTCTAATGCAGTAGACTGTAGTGGAATTAAATGCCACCTGCTACATTTCTTATAGCAAAATATAGGCACAAAGGGGATTTAATTTAAATGCTCTGATAAAGCAAAGATTCAGTACATTTAAATGGTTCAGTAAGAAAACCAACTGAAAAAACGTACCTCATAAAGAAACGGCAGGGAGAGTCTGTTGATATTGCACGAAACCAACTAAATACTATGGCCATTCCTAAGGAATGTTAAACCATTACCTTCTTTAAGGGCAATAAAATGTTACCTCCACTAGTTGGCTATCTATATAGCAAGAGTAAATTGTACAGAACATAAGCATCTGTGATACTTAATGTGCCAGTTCATACATTCTCAAGTATTGTGAATGCATCAGGATCCAAAATGTAAATGTCACTATTCTCTGTTCCTGCTACTAAACATGAAGCTGCATCTTCATCTGTCATGGACTTCTTCAGTGTTGTAATACAGGTTATGACACTCTGAAAGGGACAGACAAACATACTTAGATATTTAGTAATAATGTACATATGAGAATGTTATTAGCTTCACATTCAGTATCATACCTGTCTTTTAAGTGGTATGTCTTTGTACTGGTCGACAAAACTTCTCCAGTTAGAATGATCAAGCATTAAAAGTTGCTGGGAACGAGACGTTAGATTAGAGAAACCAAGTTCCTGGCGTAAGTTCTGCAGGAGCTCATAAAATATTTCCACTTCCATATGTTTGTTCCGAACCTGTGGAAGTATTACAACAGTCATCTGAACATGTGCTAAAAATGGGACTCATAAATCATATAAATATCTATTTATAAATTGGCAGGAATGGAATTAATGTGATGCAGCAGTACATAATAAACTATAATGCTTAATTAGTTGAGCCATCACTGTATTCTGACACAGGAATATAGGATAGCATTTAATGTTATCACAAAAATCTTACAAGACTGTAAAAATTTTAAGTGCAATATGCACTCACCTCAAGCCACAGATCTTGCTCCAGTGGATTCACATTCATGGATGGAAGTGAAAATTTAAAATAAGGCCTCATGTTCTTGTAGACAAAGATACTGGGACCTGAGGCAACTGCAATAGCTAAGAAACAAAGATCAGTGACAATGTGGGCCAATTTAAAAAGACCAAAATCCAGTCCAGGCCACCATATAAACTACAAGAACACCACCATATTGGACAGAACATCAGGCTCTGTGGATCACATACTGGAAGATGTCACTGAGTTCTGGCTCCATCTTGACTACTTCAACACAGACATGGGATTTACTGGAACATAGCGTACTCTGAGAAATTTGGGACAGCAAGCAACAGCAAAACATACCCCAATATGTCCACATTGAACAACATATGTGTCTAAGTACATTAGGCAGTTGCACTGTTTGTCACATCTTTCCTAATGACAGAGACAAATACAGTTTCCATCTTCATACTTACATGTCTGATTGCCTAAGAAGACTGCATACTAGATTTTGTTTGTGCTTTGAATACATAAACAATGAACATTATCTTACCAGGCACTCGTGGCTCATTCATATCCATGTGGAAGGTAACAACACCAGCTGGCACATCCATAAGGGTGCTCTCTGACATTAAGGTTGTGCCCTTATACACCTAGGAGACAGAAATTTGATCATATATGCAGTCATCTCATAGGATACAACTCACAGACCTAATAATATACAATCGAAAAGGTGTAACAGATATGCTTGACTCTGTACCTTAAGTTTAATATTTGTAGTTCCTGTGCCAAGATCAGAAGTGATGAGTCTATAGTCTCCATCTGCATTTATATCAGCAAGTGTCATACACCGACTGAATGTATATATTGATGCATGCAGGTCATTAAATGCATCAAGCCACTGTTGAGGACTCAAGCCCCTGGAACTGTTTGACGTACATGTGTAAATAATCACAGTTTTACTGACATTTTTCATGGTTAAGGTCAAGTTCTCCTATCTTACCCCATTGTCTTGTGGCCTTGTTACAATTCAGAAACGTATTCCAAACACTATAATATTGATGTGCAAAACTCGTTTTTGATCAGGATTATTCATAACTTCCGGAGACATGTGTATTTACCATATAATTTAGGAGCGTTTATTATTTCGGGAAAACGCGTACTTGTTGCTATGACAACGCCAGTTCAGTAGCTGCAAGTAGTAGTTGTATCTCATCAAAGATGGCACTTGAGAGACAATTGCACTCCCACCTGTTGAGGAAATCTATAACTTGTTCCTTTAAACAGTACGTGCCCGTAATACATCGAAGCTGGTGCTAACAATTTTGAAAATGGAATAATGTACTTCGATAAGTTTCAGTATTTTTAGCAAAAGGGCTCTGGATACCACTTCACTCAGAATCCGATCATTCAGGACTGAGATTTCATTTGGACAAAGGACAGGACTAAGGTACTTGGCGCTCGGGAAGTTGTTTGCGAAACGTATTCGACTTTAATTCTGACACCCCCAATACCCACATACTTTTTGTCAGAAGTCCAGAAGGGAAGATGAAATTTATTTTGAAGAAAAGGAGTTGTGAGGGCGTCGACTAGATTCAACTGGTTTACCATAATGTTCTGTGCCAGGGTCTTGCGAACTCGGTAATGAATCTTTGGGCTCTATAGAAGGAGCAGAATTCCTTGATTGTTTGCGCTTCTGTTAGCCTCTCAAGAAGAGTCTGCTCAGTGAAGATTGTATAAGAATGTATTTGATGAAACGCCGAATTTACAAGAATATTTATGCTTGTCACATGACATGTCCTTGTTTTAAAATTAAAAGGGTGGAAATACAATGCTTGGTCCGTCCAAGAGCGATCCTCATCACAGAAAATAATCAGATAGCCTCTTAGACGTGAGAAACGACTTCCGGAGTGTGTTTCGGACCGAGGCGGCATTATGGGTACAGCTGCAGCAATAATACCGCCACCGTTCCTGTCATGAGCCAGCTGAAACCGATTCACGTGCGCTTTCCCCAATGCTTACGTCGCTAAAAGAACCTGCTGACGTCGAGGCAATGAGATACCTTGCGCAACATTTGAGATTTGAGCTTTTTACAGCTATGAGAGTTCAGATTGTGATACCAGAATACCCTGAAAGCAGAGCCAACAGCAGAAGAGTTGGTGAGGATTTATGAGACCTCACGCTGTGATAACTCAAAACACCATGTCTGAATTACGTGACATGATAACATTTTGCGGCGAAGAAGTGTAACAGCTACTGTCCAACCCCAAAGCTGGGGCATCATTGGCTGTCCGACACATTCATTGCGTTAAAGTTTGCACCAAATCGAAATGCCATCTTCTGAAAATTATTGACCTTCGTGACGTCACGCTTGAGAGGTTTGTTGGGCTCAACGGCTGAAGGAAGGGTCATGTAACCTAGGTAACCCAGGATTCCTGCGCTGTCGTCGGCCACCACGGCCTCCCAAGATCGCCACTGGCAGAATTCATAATTAAGGCACCTGAAGAATGTGGCTAACTGAAGTTCGTGCCTCAACGAAGAAACACGAAGTAAACCGTAACCTCACGAACTCTGTAAAACTTAATTTCATTTGCTCTCTTTCATCTTCTGTCCTTTTAGTTCTCTCGTTCAAGTTTTAGTTACAGAAACTATTACGCGTTGTGTCTGCCTCGTACTTTACAGTCTTCAGCTAAGTATTGAGGTTCGCTGTTGGTTCCACGTCGTCGTGTGATAACGTTCCGCAGACAATTGATGTTAGATGACAGCTAATCGTGTAGGTAGTAGGAGACCTTCAAGGAACTCGATGCGCAACGAAATGCGACCACGTAGTGAAAAGTTGACTCGACGAAAAAGCCAACAAGAATCGGTTACCATGACAATAAGGCAGCAATAGTACTTTGAAACGCCTTCTCTTGTTCACGGAAGGAACAACAAAGTATAACAACAGTGCCGTATGTTACAAGTTTATTTTTGTTGTGGTCACATGTGTTTCACGTGAAGTCCAAGATTGTCGGATGACTGGAAGAAACGAAGTGCTCGGGGCTACGGGTGTGGGGGTGTAACGGGGAAGTGGTGTCCTTTCGGATTTGGCTGGAAATATTATAAACATTGATGTTCATTTGATTTTTCATTTTTGCGAAAAGGGAGTAAGAAACATCTCAGAGAAGTGAATTTTGCGAACTCCGTATCCAGATCAGAAATCGCCTCTCCGCGAGATTTATAAAACAAACGATATGGACATGTCTGTAGTAAATGCAGTGATAAAATGTGGTAGTTTCCTTCCTGCTCTGGATTAATTTGATTCAAAAACAAAACTGAGGAGCTACAGCTGTTAAAGCTCCGTAACTGTAAGTATATGAAATGTTAGTGCTTAAAACTGATGTTTCTATAAAACCGTGATTAACACAAATGATTTGTAAGTACCGGTGTGAGTTGCAGGATCCAAAAAAGTATCTTTTATAATAGAGCCGACTTGAGGATATATACCGATACATTCGCTTTGAGAACATTATAAGAATGAGTTACGTGCATAAAAATTGACATTGCACACAACGCACAGATTTGAGATTCTCGTGGCGGTGAAGATCTCGATGTTGGTCTGCTGGGTTGGTGTAGCCGTCAGCCCAGAAAATGGAGACGGTATGTTTCTCTGAAACGTTTGTGTCCACACGGCGTTACATACAGCCCGGTGCTTTTTCATGTACTTTCAAAATACATTTTTCCTTGGGGCAAAAGATTATTTCTTACAAGCAGAAAGAGCAGGGACAAAGTAGGGTTCTACAGCCTTAATTATTCGTGTTTTGGATACGTTTTTGAACTGAGTAATAACATTTACTCGTTGCGGGTATTCAGGTAGAGTCCGATGATAAATTGTTTAAAGTATGCCATTTCTTATTTAAGTAATTGTTTGAGGAAAATGGTAAATAACACGGTGACGTGCGAAATATTTTGGTATGATGAGTCACTGTAAATTGACGTATTGAAATTTGTATGTGTACTTCATATAAACACGTGGAAAAGTACGGTAGTATATTAACGAATCGTCTAAGGTGTAGTTTAGTTCTTCACAACTTTAAAAATGTTGTGACAACAGTGCATGTTTATTCTTGTGTAACTGCGGCTGTCGAGGAAAAACCCGTCGATTATTAAAGGTTTCCCAACGTTTCTGCAAACATTGTAATTGCCATTTTCAGGGTAAATGTCTGTAGGGGAGGGGGTAGTGGGAGGTGATAAACATGACGTGATTGTTGGAAGGCCGTCAACAATGGACGCAGTTTATCTCTGAAAGCCGAAGTTATACATCAACCTTCTGCCCAAAATCTTTAGAACAAATTTTTGAACTTCCATTATTATTATTATTTTTAATTATCCACATACGTAATGGCGTATCCAGCTTCTCATGTCGAGATGAAAAGACGAATGCAGTGTTTGACATTTAGAGCTTAGGTGCGGCTACACACGGCTCTGTGTTCGCTTTCAGCTAACAAGCAACGATGACGTACATCGCTAACCGATGACTAGGAAAGTTCAGTTCTTAAAATACTTTCGACACTATCTTTATTACTCATAATCTAATGAAGTTAGTGTGATGTCAGTTTGTTTTAATATATGTATGTACTATTAATATGCCCAAAATACTTGTGTTTTTAAAATAATTTAATTGAATTATGTCTGTTTTAATTGTTTATCATTCCATAAGTTCGTGCAGGGTGACCGTGGAATTGCTGTTAAGGTTTTAAGAAAGAATAACATTTGAAATGAAAACCATTGAAAAGTTAGCAAGGATGATCAGCCATTTTATCTCACCCAATAGAAAATACCGTGAAAACGTCGGTTCATTACATTATATGGGACCACCTTGTATAAAGTCAGATAGGGAAGTTAGGCATTTGATTCTTAAATTAGGAGAAATGTAGAGTATTTACGGTCGATTAAAGTAACATACACTTAAATGGCATTTTGACCAAACTTTGTTTTTATGAGACGTCACATATCCTCACGCAAGAAGTTACAGTGGTGAAGCGTTAGTAGTAGGCCCTGTATGTATACAGTTTGATGGAAGAACAGATATCTTTTTCAGTAAGACATTCAAGGATTTTTAAAATAAGGTAATTGCCTAAGAATGTAGATTTCTGACCCCCCCCCCTTCCATCTCCTGCCGAAACTATTTTTCTGTAGTCCATTTTGCGTTTTTAGGAACTGGAAGCAGTTGTTTTAAAGTAATCAACATTAAAACTCCGAAATAATTTTAGGGTAAATCGGGAGTTAATCCCGCAGAAAAGTTTATTTTGTTTTGTGGAAATTATCTGACCGAATATGTCATAAATTACCAGGTAGCAGTATACTGCTGAATAAAACCACGAAGTTTCTGCTGAAGGTGTTTGAATTTCTGTAATCCCTCCTTCACGCTATTCTGACCATTACTGCCATTTATTCCACTCCCTGAGTAATAATTTACATTCATCCATCCGGCACATTTCCATATTTTATGCTGAAGACCACAGCGTTTTATCGTGCTGTCTGAAATTGTTGATGTGCTATTTATTTTAGGCTCAGACACTCAGCTGAGTTTTGTCAGTGTGCGGTCTCAGTATTTATGTTATTACAGTCAATACACATTTTAACGTGACCAGTCTTGTCAGAAAGCATTTCAGTCCCAAATTTCTTTCGCAGTTATTCAGTACAGAATTGCGTTATTGAAATCATGAGAGTCTTCATAGACAGACGCCTGCTTGGGTATAAAACTTAGTAAGACGGCAGCTTAGTAGTTGCAAAAGTATAATTTATTCATATGAGAGCAACGAATTTACTGTCGATGTAAAGTGCACGTTATTGCTGTTCGATTTTGAGTGATGTTGGAACATATCGACAAATTTAGCACAAGTCCTAAACACCAGATGTAATGGAAATCCGTTGTGTGGTTCTCGAGTTATTGCACGATGACAGAAAGACAGACATAGCTAAACTAATGGGCGCATCCCTGCAACTTTACGTAGCGAAAACGCCAAAAATTCATGGCATTGACCGAAGTCGTTAAGTAACGTTGTTTGTTGTCTTGTAATATCCAAGCGTAGGATCACTCATCTTTACTTTGTGTTGAAGCAAAGTGGGGTAAGTTGCAGCCGGTTACCAGTAAGACAGGCTGTTGACATTATACGTTCAGGAGGCACAAACGGGTTATTTAAACATGACCGTGATTTTAAACGAAAACCTGACATTGGAGCCTTTATTAATTTATTTCTTTGGTGAGAGGAACTTACTGGTATTTACTTAGAGTCGGTTTTAACAGCTTATTCCCTTGAAGTCAGAGTAGCCTTCTTTCTTCCTTCATCTGCCTGAGTTGCAGTAGATTTTTTAATAAAATGAGCCTCGTTATTTGTAACGCAGTGACTTATGAAGTGACGGATTATAAATCTTTGACTCATTAATTTGCTGGCATAACAATTTATTTAAAAAATCTGTTTTCAAAATATGTAAATTATATAATATTAGTTTAATGTTGTCTCAAAATTATCACTATATTTCCATATCCTGCATGTATATAGTGTGAACCATTTCTATTGACACTTGACAATCGTCAAAGTTGCTAATGTCTTCTGAATAGGACGTACTCCATGTATGCCAGTGGGTTAATTTAATACTTGTATTAAGACTAGCCTCACAGTCGGCCCCGAATAGTCTAAGGCTTCTTCTGCTTAACAGAGTAAGCCTCTGATATCCTGTATGTGACCCACTGTTGTCTTAACATCCACATTCTGGGCCTCTATACATTAATTCATTCATATCATTTAAACACGTGCATATATATATATATATATATATGTCGTGCACTAAGAGTAATTTTAGGAAGCGCGTACTTTTACTTCAAGAGGACTCAGTGCATGTCAAAATCTAATTAATTCGCACACATTTCACTTGGCTGATCTTAGAGTAAAGGCAGCTTAATTTGGCTTAGTTTATTTACACGTGTTCTACATGTGATGAAGTATACATTTTTATCACTTTAACACAGGTACAGTTTATTGCATCATACTACTTTGAACCAATGCTCTTTTTCTTCTTCTTCATCATTAAATTGTTTCGAATGTTCGAAATATTCCACAACTTAAAATCGATTATCTCATACCAGTAACGAGCTTTCTTGTCTGGTTTCTGAACTGTTCAATGTCAGTATTAATGTTCACTCAGACGGCATTGCATCGCTTTTTCTGTTTCGAAATCTGTCTTACTTTTCTCTGTGGCTTCTTCAGAATCAGCGCCTGATGTTTGATGTTCCACTTGTTACAGCCACGGAATTAGGTTGTCATTTGTGTTCATTACCGTTAAAACATAACCTGCTTTAGTAGTCTCAGAATCCTGAAACAAATAATAATTAGTGACACATTTTATGTTGGTCTGAAAACTTAATCAATCTGTTATTAAAGACCGTCATATTTCCGTTCTTGCTTATCATACGTACCTATTAGGTAACTTCGCACCACTACGACGTTTAAGTCACCTGTAAGCTAAGTCTAGTGCGGTAGTGTATTACGAAACGCACACAACCACAGCCGAATTATTTA